CTTCCAAGGACTATGAGCAAGAGCACTCATTCCCTTTCTTTTTTCTTGAGCAATGTGAAAGACACACTGCAGGACTCTGGGACTAAACACCCCAATCTCCCTCCATACCTACAACACTCCTGGTCTAAGTATCTCCTGGTGATGCAGGAATAGATCCTAGATAAAGTTAGACTGTATCAAGGCTGCTCCAAAAGTAATGCCTCCTGTTTTATTATGTTGCTCCACGACATGGGAGGTGGATGGTGGTTATACAGCAGTAGAAGTTGAACCTTCCTGCCAATGTTTTGTTACATGTTGCTACATGACAGACGGCAGCAGAATGGCTGTCTGACAAAGCAGAGGCTGACATGAAAGCGCAGATAGAGCAAAGGTGTGTAAATAAAAGTGGAAAAAATTGCACCCACTGACATTCATTGATGCTGAATGTTTATGGAGACCAAACGGTGGATGTGAGCACAGTGAGGTGGTGGGTGGTGCGTTTCAGCAGCAGCACAGCAGGTTGCCTCTGATTTGTACCGGTGTGACAGGCTGGCTTTTGTTCATCAGTAGCAAAAACGCAGAGCTAATGGTGGTGACTACATTGAAAAATAGTGTTTTGTAGCTGAGAATTTGCTCTAGCAAATAGCGTTATTGTGCTCTTGGAAAATGTTGCAGTTTCCATGGAAATAAATAGGAGGCGTTACTTTTGGAGCAAACTATGTGTACAATCTTGCTGCCTCTCTAATTGCACAATGGTGCACTCTCAAGAAACTCCCTGAAACAGTGCACTTTAAATGTTGACAGATATGTATCGCTTCAAACCTGCTTTGAGAAATACTGAGAGGAAGTAATTTTTCAACCAAAGATAAGCAGAGGAAGCAAACTCACATTTACCACAGCAGAGAGAGTTAAAAGTTGGATATTGCCACAGAATAATTCTGCTCTCTCCATTCCATTTCTCTTTAGACCGAGATTGTAACTCCTCCTTCAAATCCATTTATTATTATTATTATTATTATTAAAATTACCAACCCAAATAATTAATCTGCTACAAAAAAAAAAAAAAAACCTCTTCCATATTTAAAATGTTATTCTAAAGAAAGGGAGCACAACAAAATCCAGTACACATGACTGAATTTCCAATAAATAGCAGCAGAATCTTTTGGAATTACGAATGCATCATTCAACATGTAATTCATGATGGCAAATACCACACTCACGTCTAACTGTCTCTCTGTCCTTCCAATACCTCACTGCTCTATGCAGGTAGCTGATCATCTCTGAACATCAAATGCAGTTGGAAACTTTCTTGACAACATTTCCAGACCTTTATAAGTAGCAAAAGATCAGATATCTGAATTAAAAAAGCAGGCAGCATTTTCTACTACGTTCCAATCACTGCTTCTGTCAAAACATAACAAATATCAATACCACCTTAAATTTGCATTGAGGTCCTTGTAGAACGCTGAATTATAGATTTCAGCAAGTGGCATGAAAAGATTACTCTTCCATTGCTGTTAAAATAAGAAAAATCAGACAAGCTTCTCTTTCTTAATATTTGAAGACAACCATCTCCTGTTAGAGAAACTTAAAGCTATGAACTGGCTTTTTCTATTTCAAAATCATTCTGAACTACAACCATCAATCCAAAAGGAGTATATTTTCTAAGTATCTTCTATTCTTTAACAAAATAAGACATTGAGAGGTACTTAAATCAATTAAGACACACAGAGTAGTCTTCCAGCAGCTTCCAATCTCTTTAAATAAGCAGAATTTTCCTATTTTCATGCAAACAGTCCAGCATTTCAGAGAACATTTCATAATGCAGTAGCCATCAGTGTTTGTTAGCCTCATATGTAACCAATATTCCAATCTGCGAAGAGCTCTGTGTATTCAACAGGACCATGCAAAGGCCTGAGAGACCCCTGAGCTGGAGGTCACTGCAGGATAACATTCTCCCAAGCACAGCAGTTACCACGTGCAAATGATTCACTTCTCCCATCACCCTGCAAAGTCTAATTTGATAATTATGGTGATTATCAATTAGCACCTCACCACTATTTGATGACACACAGTGACTTAGGGCTAGCTAGCATCCAACACTGAAATTTAACAAACATGCCACAAAAAGAGGCATCATGGCAGAAGATAACGGACATCGCTTTACTTCTAGATGTTGAAGCATTCAGACTCTTACACACTAATTTTCCTGACGTTTCACGTTCACAGATGGACCAGTGTGATAAGCAGGGTGAGACATGCACACAGTCTGAGGGGTGTCTATGCAAGACCCACAACCAGAAGAGCAGTGGGAGCACAGCTCTGGGCTGTGCTATGGAACAGGCCATAGCACTGGTCATCCATCAGCTTCTTCCACTACCAGAAAGACTGCACTAACTGTAGTGAAGTTTGGGAAAAAAATTGTTATTCAGTACAGTAAGCCAATGTATGATTCATAATAATTAAATTTGCTTGGAAAAGGAAAAAGCAATCATATAAGTCATTATAACCAACTATATAACAAAACTTCTAGAGAAGACAGAGGAGCTGAAAATCTAAGTGCAAAATGGATTTACAAGTGATTTCATCTACTGTTTGCCTCTACATCTGCTTTAAGACGGATGATCATTCAGGTCCAGAGAATACTCAGACAACCTGTTGGAGTTGAAAATATTTTCTTCCATTCACTTTACAGAACAACATACTTAATCTCAATGGCTGTACCGAGTACATTTCCATAGCATTTAGAACTTGTATTTGAGTATACTTATTACTTTAATGCTTAAGTAATTGTTACAGAAACATTAGCTGGTTACAGCATGGTATTATGAGTTTCTCATCACAGATAACTGTGGCCTGTATATTTAGAACATTCATTTTCTCTATCACACAGTAAGATTGGAGTCATAGAATTCTTTCCTGCACATGATCACATCAATCCAATATGAAGATTTTGAGATTGTACCAGAATTTCTATTTTCAAGAAGGACTTCTATAAAAATTGTCATCTCCTCTCTAAATTTTGGCAACGATGAATGTTTCAGACTCCATTGGAACTCAGAGAGCAAAGAGAACCGTGACTTAGAAATAAATGTGACATTTGTGAAAAGCACTGAGCATTAAGACCTTCACGTTGGTTTGTGAGTCAACAGATTTTAAAAGACCTACCTGCATTTTTTGCACTATATTAAGAGGAACAATGTATTTATTTATTTTTTCATTCACTGTTTAATGTTTTCTAAACTCCACACCTTTATCCACACCAATATTTCTCAGAAATAACACATCTCACTTTCTTCACATCCCATCTCACCCATCCCTTGGTCATAGATGGGTACAGCCAACTTGGTGTTAGGACTTTTCTAATCATGTAACTCCTAAAGAGAGATAGGACTGATACTGCTGCAAGTGCTCAGCAATCTGAAATACTCTATCAGAATATTTTTCTCATAGTTTGTACCCAAAAAAAAGTTTCAACTCACTTTGTGATCCAATTAGATTGTTGGATTACTACTCAGCCACAAAAAACTGTTTTACGCAACATCTGCACTGCTTCCTGCTGAATAACTTGCCCTTAAAACTGCCTTAAATGAAAACTCTTTACATTTTTAATGTATACTTCAAGAACAATCAGTGCTTGTCTTCCAAACCTAAGCGTCACACTGGCATCCATCAACAACCACCAAAAGGAAAAAAAAAAAAAAGTTACATGAGTTGGAATTTGAGGGAAGAATTTTTTCAGGTATGCCTTGTTTCAGAATAACAATATCCTGTTAGGGCTTGCAGGCCTCTGCATAAGCACTTTGGGAATGGGAATGACAGCATAAACAAAGCGCTGAAAAAGGTTTCTGAGGGTGGAGCCCATTTTTAAACACTGGATTAAAATTCTTCTGTATCCTGAGGCTCCAAACTTTTTCAAAGGTGCAGCAGTTTAAACCCTGAGCAGGCAAACTACTGCAGACTTGGCTCTGCAACCCTCAACTCAGGAGCCCATCCAGCTATTAAAGCTGAATGCGTCGTTGTTCCCTATGAAATACCCGACAACAAAGAACTAAAAAACAAAGACCATTCCCCTACATGGAGTATTAACTTCCGCTGCAATAACCAACTCCTCGTCCCACACGACACAGCCCTGCGTTGTACCACACACCACTCCAGTCAGACAATGCACACTGCAATAAAACTCAGCCCAGCAAAGAAAGTGAAAGCTGCGTTTGTTCTGCACGTTACAGCAGCCAACTGTAATGCTCCTGCCTGCCATTTATCGCTCGCTCTGTCAAAGGATTATTAAGAATTAAGCTTCGTTTGACAATTTTTTTTATTTCTTGCGAAGGGAATTTACATGCACAGTGACAGACACTTGATATTTAACGTCTATTGGTCGACTCTGACCCTGCGTTTACAAGTGACTCATTTGACTGCAAGGATCTCTGATGTGGAAATGCTCAGATACGAATCAATTGCAGTTTTTGTCTCGGGTAAATGTTACTTGGCAATCCAAAAGAAATGAACAATGCTCGAACCAAGGTTCACATAGAATAGCACTCATATGCTTAAAGAATTCCTTTTACATGCCTGATTTAGTTCTAGTAGGCGGATTTATGAGTCCCCTTCTCCTAATAACTTATCTCAGTGCAGTGTTTTTAAACACACACAACCAGCAGTTAACTCTTCTGCTGCCTGAGACAAAATAGCACAGAAACACACAGACAGATTGAAATAAATACAAGCGTAGATTCGGTCCTGATAACCCATTGAGTCTTTGTGGGAGATGGGGATAGGGGAAGGATAGGAGGATGAGAAAAGGAAACATGCAGATACAGTCTGCAAATCCCTGCTCCATCAAGAAAGAATCGTGCATAATGAATGACCGTTCCTGCATGAAATCAACTCCCTGCAAATTCTGCAGTTTCCCTCTGACAGGAACAAAGTGAAATGGTATATCTTTACCTGAGCAAAACTGCCTTCCTCTTGGAAGGCAGATGCAGCATTTCTATAAACAAAAATGTCTCTAGCCTTACCTTGTGCCAGCGCTTGCAACATGTGGAGCTGTAGCAACAGAAACGCCCACCATCGTCGACAGAAGAAGAAACAGAAGTTTAACTTCATCATCATTTCATCTCGCCTGCTATTCCTCTGGGCAATAATTTCACGATCCACTTTCCTTCCAACCATCATTGCCTCACCGATCCCCATCCGATCCGACTGCCTGCCACTCCTGACAGCGCTTTGGTCATCGCTCACTCTGCACCCCGAGGCCAGGCTCTCTTTGGTGGGCTGGGAACATTGCCAGCTGCCTCTGCCCCGGAGTTTTGGGGGAACAGAAAGCCCCACTTCACAGGAACCGAGGACTCTTTGATTTGTGCTCACTTTGCATGCAGCCCGAAAGCAGCACTCCGTGTGCCTCGCTGTATTATAATTACCCACGAAGTCAATGTTTCTTGTGGAAGTATTGACTGCACCAAAACAACCAGTCAGAAATGTGAAACACATGTTTCTCCGCGCTGTCACATCCAATGCCTTCAACAGGGAAGGAGAGTAAGTTTATTGGCGTCAGTACTTCAGTAAATCCGGATCCTTCGGCACATTGCTAACAGCAACACAGAAGGATGGATCCATCTCAGCCAGCAGCACACATCCCCACAGCACCTTTCATACCGCAAGGATGACGGCAACTGTTACCCCTGTGATATTCATCAAACGTAGGGAATCTTCCGGCATGTGTCCCATTCTCCCATAAAAACCTCGGAGTGGAAGGGTTAAACTCGTGTAAAGGGGGTGGGAAGAAAAGCACCAACGGAAAGAAAAAAAATACTAATTGAAAGTATCTCGCTCTTCCTTGCGCCGAGGATTTATTTCAGACAATTTCAAGATTAGCCATGCAGACAGGTTAGTCTCCAGATATCCCCGCCAAGCTCCGCATAGTTTATATTAATCCGATTTTCCTCTGGATACAAATCTCTCCCGTCAATAGAAGGGGCTGAAGGGTCCTCGAGAGGTAAAGCGAGCGGCTCCGGCACTGATTGCAGCCGGCCGTGCCGTGAAGCAGCCGCAGGCCGGCGGCGGCGTCACCTGAACTCACGTTCAGCCCGAGGTAGGGAAAAGCTCAGCCGGTCGTATTTCCCTCCTCCTCCAAGATTGGCGCCGGTTTCCTCCTCTTCGCAGGGCGATCGCGACCAGAGGAAAAAAAAAAAAAAAAAAAAAAAAAAAAGAAAATCAATCACCTCCCGCACGTAACGCGTTCTGCTTCTGCCCGGCTACGGACGCAGCAGCGGAGCCAACCCGCAGCTGGGCGGCCTCCGGGGCGGGGGGGAGAGACATCTCCCGAAACAAACAGCAACAAGGTGAAATCCGCCCGGCTGCTCAGGCTGTCGGCTTTGCTCTGTGCTCCGCCGGGCGGCTCTTATCCTCGCAGCGGCTGTAAACACGAAAGCAACGCGCTACCACCGCGGCGGCGGCAATGGGAGCGCATCCGAAGGGGAAAAAAAAGAAGCGCCGAAGGTCTTCGCGTTCAAACAATGCATCGGGTATTGTCCCAGTCCCGCCTTCCGTAAAGGGAAAAGTTTCGTGGGAGATCCCCTCCCCCCGCACTAAACGGAAAGGATACGGGTAGCTCTGCCAGGCGGACACCCGGGATGAACGCAAGTTAAAAACAAAGCACCTCAGCTTGAAGTTGAGCCAACGAATCCCCCCGCCTCCTTAAAGGCGGACTGAACTTTTCTCACCTCCCTCAGCCCCAGCCCGGCCGTCCCCTCCCCCGGCAGCCGCCTCGCGCTCAGCCCGCTCCCCCCGCACCTCCGTTCCGCTCCGCGCTGCAGCCGCACCTCCCGCCCCCCCGCCTTCCTCCGACCTACACCTAAGCGGGGCAGCAGCCTCTGCGGCGCGGCCACATGGGCGGCGTGGGCATGTACGGAACTAACAGGACGGGGCGTGGGGGGTGTATTTCAAGACAGGTTCTGCTCTCGACAGACGACAGACGAGGAGGGGGCCGGCTCTCCGCCCGGCGCCCGGCAGGACCTGCCCGCGGCTGCTAACATCGCCGCGCTCCTCCCTCGGGCCCTCCGCCGGGCGCTGATTGGTCGGAGTGCGCGCGGGGCAGGGAGGGCGCAAAGAGCCGCGGGCGCGTAAGGTTGGCGGGACGTCGTGCCGCGTCCACGCGCATCTCTAACGGCCGCGCGCGTGCGCCCCGGGGGGATTCTGTCCCGCGTCCACGCGCCTCCCTAACGGTCGCGCGCGTGCGCGCCCGGCGGGCCGTTATGTCGCGTCCCCGCGCTCGCGGCGCCCCCTAGGCGCGTGCGGCGCCGCTGTGCTGGCGGCTGGCGGGGCACGCCGGGCACGCCCTGCAAGGCCGGGGTGCGGCCGCTCCGGCGCGCGCGTTCCCGGCAGCTATGCTTTTTTTTTTTTTTTTTTTTTTTTTTTTTGCAGTAGAAAGGAGCAGGTATGCGACGAGCCCGGAGCGAGGAATTAGCCTTCTTCCTGCTCGCTGCGATGCGGTGAACGCAGCCTGCGAGGCTGGCAGCGAAGTTTCTGAGCTCGGGTACGTTCGCTGAGCACAAGGAGTGTTTAAGTTACGGCTGGCAGCTCCCGTTCCTTTATTTCCCTTTTTTTTTTTTTTTTTGCTGCTGTCTCTCTGACAGAGTCACACAGGCGAGCGCAGTAAATCATCGCATCAACCCCAAGGTCATTCCGTCGAGGGTCACTCAGCACAGCACCTCCCTCACCGCCCTCTGTCGCTTCACAGCACCAAAAACAGGCGAAGTTTCTCCGTTCCCAGCAACGCAAAGCGGGCTGCTCCTCCCCATTCCAGGTGTTTCGACCCACACAACTGCACGGCATTCCCCGTGCACCCTCTGCTGTCCCTTCCAGCTGTTCCAGAACTGCCTGCTCCTCCCAGCACTCAGCAGCTTACGAGCTTTCCAACGCCCGTTGCCATCCATTCTTTCTTCTGCCCAGTGCAGGAAAACCCACTGCCTGCCATGCTCAAGAAGTCACTGCGCTGAAGGCACTCTCCTGGTAACTGAGAGGAGCTGCAGCCACCTGCATGGACATAGCCGTTCGGTGCTGCCTTGCACCTCATGCAATGGGTGTGAGCGTGAGACCACGCGAGTAACGCAGACACCAAAACCCAGAGTTAACGATTTGCCCTTCAACACATCAATTTTGAGACCAATTCGAAGCACAGCCAATTCAGGTTGTGCTGTGTTCAGAACAGGCCTTAAGGAAGCACTGCTGTGCTTGTAACAGCCACCACACCATTAATAACAGCAGTGACGAACTGCTTTTCTTTTCAACGAGTCACCTTGGGTGGGAACGTTGGTTCCCATTTTACCTTGGCTGGAAACAGAAAGCACATTTCATTGCGGTTTGGTTTTGTTTTCAGCTGCTCCAACCAAAGGAGCGTGGGGCTGTTGATTCGCTGGCTGGTGGGAATGTTGGGTTAAGATGGTCGGTTTGATAAGTAAGAAAATACTCAGCACTTCCTTGTTGCGTTATAGGGGAGGGGATTTGTGCTGGTTACATCATTTGTGTCTAAACCTGCTGGAAGGATCATTATCAAACAGCTCAGTTTTAATGCCCAGATGCCACAGAGGAGAAATGCTAATTTCCGTTACCTGGCTTAATTAAAGTGAAAACTGATTTCTGTTCAGAATTAATACATTTCCTTCTAACAGTTTAAAACGGTTGAGCATATAATTATAGGAACAAGAAATTAACCCATTTCCACCTTCAGGCCTTGCTTTTTAAGTATCATTTAAATGTGCTGGTGTTTTTCAGCCTGCATCACCGTGTTCAGGGTGAAATGTTTTCAGCTGGTTATTAGCTTACTTTTTAACAACATTACCACGAAGATAAAGTCCCTATAACCTGTCTCAGAAGACATCCGTGGATTTTTTTTTCTCATTTGCCTTGTTTGCAATGATTGTACTTAATAGTGGACAAACTAAGATAACGTGTGTGAAGTCTCATTATCCAGATTGTTAAAAGGGTTCCAGCATTCTGCTGCCTCTGTTTTGTGCTGCTTCTTCCCTTTCCTACCTGTATGCATCAAACAGAGCAGGAAGAGTAGGAAAAGAACAGCTCTGCCACCTGAAAAAACAAACAGCATTCTGAGGGGAAAAAAAAAAAAAGAGGGGCATGAGGTTTTGGGATTTGCTTGTTTTCCAAGAGTCATAAAGAAATGAAGAAGTGATAGAAGTGATATAGGTAATCGTATTTAAAGGTGAAGAAAATGTAATAAAAGGGTTTTTTCGCCAATGGCTGTTGTACTGTGCAGTGAGCTATACATGTGGTAAGAGTCCTAAGGGCTGCAGATTTGCATAATTAGTAGAGAATGGAGGGAAGTTTTATTTACATAAATAAACAAAACATGGTGAGCCAATGAGGCAAAAGAGAAAAGAATAGAAGGTTCCACTCCCTAAGACAGGTTGCTAATGAACAGCAGCTTTCTAGCCAAGAAAATCGGCCACAGTACTGCCGCAAGAAAATCTTCTAATATTTACAACCTTAGTTTTTATTCTCATTCTGCCAGCATTTATGTTTTCTGAGGTATAGCCTACTGGCACTTCCTAGCATTTGGAATTTACCCATCCTGCTTTAAAGCAAGAATTCTCACATACAACTTTTTTAAATGCACTTTTTAAGAGATGCAGCAGGTTGTTTTGATCTAATGCATCTCCTGACATCATCTCTGATTTGTGTAGTCACCAAAAGGTAAGATTAAATTAGGGAACTATAGATTATACCAAACAGAAAGTTCTTCAATGAGGAACTATCTATGGACTGCTTGCATTGCAATCTGAAAGGTTAACGTGGTAGAAAAGCAACACAGAAGTGAAATAGCAAGAGGGACTACTACAAATAGGATGGTGCTGTAAATGATAGGCACTTACCCATCTCTGAAGAACTAGGCTGGCAGAGACAACTTCACAAGGGAGGGACCTCCAACCACAGATCCTGTGCCAGTCAGCCCTTAGATAAGGTCTAAGAGAAGTGCAGCCAGGCTCCACCCCTTCTGATCACATAGAATTGCCTTCACCTGTGCTCCCATGGCTGACCAGGTCCTTTCCCCAGGTGATCAATCAGTGGTTCAGGCTGGGACTCAACAGTTACCATACAGTTGCTGGTTTAGTTTTCTAAGCTGAGTCAGTATCTTGCATTTACTTTGAAAAAATACATAAGCTGCTGATTTTGTGCTAGTATGTGATGTTTTCCACAAGGATGCTTTCTTGGAGGATGACTTAATCAATGCGAAGAAATTAATTGATTAAAGAAAAAAAAAGTTCTTATCAGATGCTAAAAGAGTTAAATGGCGTGAGATATTGTAGGGGAACCATTAGGTGAGGGCCTGAACTGATGATGGAGCACCTGGGGATGTCCAACCCAGGCAGGACAGGTGTGATGCATTCAGCTGTGCTTCCACAGGACCGGAAGGGGCCATCCCTGTGCCCACCCCACCCTGAGCTCATTTAAGGGCTGCTCTCTCCAGGGAAAGTGTCTCTTGGATGAGTGTTCTGTTGCTGGTGGTCCCTATTACCATTTGGGTGAGTAAATTTAAGTGTTATTGGTATTCCTAAAGATACTTTGCCTGTTATTGCTGCCAACTTGTCAGAAGTAGTGTTGCTGCTTTCTAGGACCAGCAGACATAAATGTGTCTTCAGGCTTATGTAGTTGTGTAAACTGGGTGTTAATATTCTAGTAAAATGTTTCTTGTAGGTACTGTGGAGCATTTCTAACCTGTAGGTAAGAGGGTTTCTTGTGGGTATTGTGAAAACAATTTTGTAATTTGTTTATATACTTTTTTTTTTCTCCAACTGGAAGTGTGAAACTGAAGGCAAGCAGTTGTATTAGCTACTGCATGGTTGTCCCAGAAGACTTTTATATTGCCTTTCCTTCTCTCCCAAGGGAGGCAGTGCTTTAGAAAACATTGAGAGTAGAAGGTAGCGTGCTCTCAGATAGGATTGTTTTTCAGCATACTAAATCAACCTGAATGCAGTAACTACTGGAGGGGGCTAAAATCTTTGTTAGTAAGGGTATATTCCCAAGGGTCACTAGCCAGCTGCTCTGCTTTTATGGTGTAAATATGCTTCTGCATCAATAATAAAGATTGGGAGAGAAGAAGAGAAATATCACATTACATAGCTGAAAGTCTCAGGGGAGAAATTAAACAATGACTTCACCACACTTCTAGAAGTATCTTCTGCAATGAACACAGTTACAAGAACAAGAATAACTCTCGTTAAATTTTACTGGGCTTAAATAACTTAATGTGATGCCACTTAAAAAGCCCCAAAACAAACAGAATGACAGATTATTGTTTTTTCTATGTGGCTTGAATTTACATAAAGGAAATTAGAAATAGATTTATATACCTTTTAGGTTTGATTTTAAATTCAGAATGCTAGCAACTTCAGAGTTAAATTTGTTCAGTTGCTACTTAATGTTATTGTGCTTAAGTGTTTGAGAACAGGCAAGGTACAGCTCTAGGGCACAGCAGTAGAAGTTAAGTGCAGATGAAGAGATGGGAAGGCTTGTTTTGCGGCTTCTATGAGTAAGAGTTATCCTGATAGAGCTGTAGCACAGCTGTGTTTATATTCAAAAATCATTATGGACTGTACAGTCAGGAGAAGGGGCTAGTGTAGTTTCTGAATCATCCCATCTTCTGTATTATCCCAATGTAACAATAGGCTTTCCTACTTAGCTATCAGAAGACATTCATGATGACCCAGCCACGTTGCCCTGCTGTGTTTTATGGAGTAGAGAGTTAGCGAAGTGACATAAAGGATCAAGACAACAGATTCTGCGTTTTTGAAATGTAGACGTTTGAAAACATCTTTATAGCCTCCCGGAGGAAGACTACGGGGGCTGTAATGATTCTACTCCACACAAGTTTGGCTAGAATGTAGAGAGAGAACTTCTTTTATGAAGTCTGTGTCTTCAAACACCGGTCGGTCTGGCCATCCAGCCATGGGCTGCAGCGATTACCCTTTCATGATAAAGATGATGCCCCAGGTATAAGTGACCTGAGTGCTTTGAGGAATGTGTGAAATTGTCCCTAAATACTGGGGAGGTCTTTAGACAAAGACTAAATCTTCTGGTTGTACCCAATCTTTGTACTTCTGAGTGCCGTCGTGGCAACTTCTTAACCTACTAGTTGGTCAGAAAAATAAAACAAAGTGGAACTGAAACTGTAAGTGAGAAAGAAATCTACTAAATTGTAATTTAACCTGCGGTAATAGTACAATAACAATGCATTAATGCATCAACTTGCATGTGATCACATTAGGTAGGAGATTTTCCTTGATATTAAGAGGTGCTGCTTCTATGGTATGTGTATTTCAAGTAGAACTTAAAATAGTGTATCGTGTGCCTTGAAATTATTATAGACTTGTTTCCATTTTAAAAGTGGTGGCTTTAGTTTAATTTTAAAAGGAAAAAATAAAGGGGGGGTGGGAGAAAGACAACATAAATCCTTGTATACCATGCTGGAGTCGATATGATTTCTTTTGGAAAACTATTTCTATATCTTGTACAAAGATGTTAATACTAATGTCTATGGTTTCACCTGGGCAGGATGCTAGTTCAGTGGTTAGTGAGCTGATGATTGTCTCCCATGTGCTTACTCACAAAGGTGCCAAGACTTAAATAATATTTTTGCAGCGCTGTTGAAGATCATGTTTTTATGGAGTGCCTGAGTTATTTCCAGCTACAGCGTAAGCATTTTGTCTTTAGGAGGCAAAGGCAGCTGCTGGATGTTTTGCGATGGGATTACATTTTTACTGTGAAGAACAATGTTAAATTATATGTTCTTGATACACTGTAATTAATTGAGAAAGGCAAAGTAATAGATGTGATGTGTTTGTGGCTATAATCCTGCATCTTTCTAAATTGATCAACATGATTTTAATGGAATAACCTTAAAAGAAAAATCAGATAACAAGAAGGATGATGAAAACAATTACCGTGAGGGTTTGAGCAATTGCTCTTGCTAGAAAGGGCTATAATTGAACGTTTCAGCCATGTTACTACTGCCATTGCCAACAATTTGCCCATCACGTAAAGCAGGCAGATCATGAAATGAGGAAGTATTAAAACATACATGGAAGGCATTTACAGTGGTTGCAGCATTGACCAACTTAGTGGTAAATTATTTTTCTTTCCATCGGATACGTAAAGGTATTGATTAGTTGTGCTTTAAATTAAGATTCAAATCTAGAGGAATTTGGCACTGTAAGGACCTGAGAGTTTTATGTGATGTGAAACTGTCCTAATGACAATTCCAGCTTTATTAATCTTTTGGTCCTGAACACTTCAGCATTTTGCAGGTTAATTGATGAATGAGAGATGCTGTATCTCTGCTTTGTGTATGTGGGGAGAGGAACTAGAGCAAACTGTGTCATTTCAGGGAGATGAAATAAGGGGATTAGATGTGAATGAGCCAGTGTGTCAGCTGGTTTTTACAATTACTTGCTTTTGGATAACCTGAATTTTATACCAAATACATTTTTCCCCAGATTTGGTGCACAGCATCTCCACTGGCAGGTTCTTACCTTCAGCTGGTAAAATTTTGCTCACCACTCTTCGCCTTGCTGCATGCTTATGTCAACTCACCTCTTGAGTGACCTGAATTCAGGGGACACAGGGAGTGCTTCAGTGCTTTTCATGGCTGGCCCAACTGAGTGCTGCAATTCTTCCTTTTCTTGAAAGGTGATCAAAAGCAA